AATATCACAAGTTAAACTCATACAACTCATTAGCTTAAAATCGTATAAGATAAAACAAGATCATTTGAATAGTTAACAGAAAATTTTGAAATTGTATAAAAGATTGAGGTCGCTTAGTGTATTCAAACACACAAAACATGCACTATCGCAATAGTGTCTATTTTGTATGTTTGAATAAATTATACGACCTGAATCTTTTATACAACTTTAAACTTTCTTTTAACTTATCCAAATTACCCCGCTTTATTCTAATTGCGGTAATGATTATTATATTCTCACATTTAACGATTGCACAATATGTCATTATCTATTTCAATTCCACAATTCTTCGAAACACACGGATAAATGCATATTTAAACACATTCTCGAAAATGATAAACTGTATTTATTTCTATATAAAGCTAAAAAAAAGCTACCCCTTTTATAAAGACACTTTGCACTGATAGTGAATACGATGCTGCTACTTACGGATAGGATATGATAATTACACGTGATTATATTATGAGAAACAAAGTAATCTAGTTTTACATTATACTAAAAATCAAAGGATAACACCAAATATATATACATTGTACGTTTGCATGGCTGTGCGGCCTGATATATGTGTGACGTCCTAGAGAATCTCTCTTACAATGCGATACAATGCATACTTAAAACGAGCATGCGTGGCTAATGCAAGCTGTAGATAAAGAGTACTTGTAAAAAAACACCTCTTATTGTAAATTAATCTCGCTATGAAGTTGATTAGTTTTTCAATATATATATGCGGAATGTCTTAGATTCACCGAATGTTTCTCAACAAATTCTTTGTGCATGATCGTTTCAAAGTTTTTTTTTATATCAATAAATACCAAAACGAACTACCTATGAAGATACATGGCCGAAGGAAAATGCGGCAAAGACGAGACATCCTGCATATATATATATATATAAAATTTTCGAATAATTATATATATATATTATATATAATATAAAATTATTCAAAAAGTTTTGTGTACATAGAATTCTGATAAACTGTTTAAATATTAAGGACCTGTAATCTAGTATAAATATCATGTTACAATGATTCATTGAAAAGCAGGTTTTTTCCTCCAATAAAACTACCGTGCATATCTTTTATATCACAAAATTAATTTTGTAGAATATTTGTATCGTATATTATTTCTACATCGCCGTTCAATCATTAAACGATTTTATCTATATTAAAAAAACCATTGACGCTCCTTTATATATTATGAATATGAATGTAAATTATTCATCATGTTAATTTACTTGTAATTGTTAGTATTTGTTGAAAATACATGAATTTCGAAAGTGTGCGCTTTTATATCTCAACCTATATTTACCGCGTTTACCAGAATACGCTTTCTGATAGGTTGAAATCTGTTATTCCCTGTTCTTATTGTCTGTAATTTTCATTGTTTCCGATTTAAGACTTGATCAATGCTCACTTCCGGAATAAAGCTCTTTTCTTAACCAATAAGAAGAAAGAATTTTACGAATTGACCAATCAAAGAATTCTTCAAAGCATTTATAGCGTAAAGCTGGTTCTACATTAAAGTATATTTTTTTTACGAGCTGCTCAAACTGGCTGTTTCAGCGACAAAAAGAATCACGTGATCAAAATTGACGAATGATATTCGTCCTTTAGTCGCATCGCAGCGTCGCAAGGATTGCGGTCCAATCACCGTCAAGTTAGCTCGACTCTGATTGGATCGCAACATTTGCGACACGCTTGCGATGCAACTAATATAGAACCAGCTTTACTTGCGACGTATTGCGCTGTTGCGCATCTCTCTGCGTTTCACCTTATATTATTCTTCCGGTTGATGATACTGCGTTGAACTGTTGTCGGTGAGTTTGGCGGATATCAATCGCGCGGAATCTAGCTGAAATGAAAAGAAACGAATTGATATTTTATGTAAATGAAAATCTGTCAAGTCGTTATTTACGCATCCCGACCTTATTTTCCACGCATATGGAAAGTCGATCGACTTTAACATGTATTATCGGATATAACCTGACATCACGTTGCAAAGCGACTTCCGTTTGAGTCTTGTGTATATATAAACCGTTATTAAGATCAATACTGCACGTATTAGTTTTGCGAATAAATTTAAAGTCGATATTATGATGACTATTTTGTATTTTATGATCAATTTTCGTTGCAGAGTCTACGAGGATGAAGTACAATCGTCTGGTATCTTCCTCGCGCAGGAAGAACAGAAAGAGGCACTTCACAGCGCCTTCTCACATTAGACGACGGCTCATGTCCGCGCCACTATCCAAGGAATTACGACAAAAGTACAATGTACGATCGATGCCGATCCGCAAAGATGACGAAGTACAGGTGAGTCTATTGTTGCTCCAAAATTCAATCTGCGGACTTCTCCCTGGTTCTATAATGAGTCGGTAGTTGGTAATCTTAGGACGGTATTCATAGTCCGTTCTTATTTTAAGACCGTCTCAAGTAATGTTTTAATGCTAATACACATACAGCTCTCTGATTGATTGATAGCATCTTAAAACTACTTAAAACAGTCATGTCATAAATATAAAAATCGATTATGAATACTGGCTTTAGAAGCTGCTAGTCAACTCTACCGATTCACTGATTTTGACCAATTCTGATTCACCAACTATCCTTCGGACTTGTTTCAGATTCACCGACTCATTATAGAAACAATGGCTGCGTTCAGCAGAACGTTCGTTTTGCAACTGTTGGAAGTTTCCTTCGCGCTGATTGGATCATACTTTTAGATTTAGAAGAATGGTCCTATCTCAGCAGACAATCATAAAACGGTTGCAAAACTGTTGAGTCTGCTGAATGCAGCTAATGTCTCTCTCATGTGGTTGTATATTTATAATTACTATGCTCGCAATAGTATCATACTAATATCATTTTCGATTGGGGTGCACTGGCTGCACTCAGTGTCA